AAGACTGGAATTAACTCTTTCTTTGTAAATGAAATGTAAATCCTGGATACAATTGACCTAATTTTCTTTGCTTTTGGTTTGACTGTGTGCCGACAGTCCTATGTATGTAAAATATTTTGTGGAGTTGCTGGCCTGCTCTTCATGACACCGTGTCGTATCTTGCAGTTCCTCTGGTTCTGGCCGTAATAAAAAGCACGCACTGCTAACACAAACTGAAGATTCTGTTAGAAGAATGGATTTACCTAATAGATTCTTATTTTCTCTGGAAGGGGAGAAGTGCAAACCCTTGTCAGTAGGAATTCAGATCCTGCTTTCTGATTTGGCCTTGCTTTTAATGCTTTCCCTTACCACTGAGCGTGCCCTATTTTTTTTTTTTTTTTTTAAACCTGCGAAGTGTTCATCAGCACCCCCCCCAGCCTTCCACCCCCAAAAAAAGCCTTTGACTTCGTTCTTGCTGTGGGTACAAAGCAAAGACAATGTTCTCTCCTTTCTGACCTACATTTTCACAGTGCAGCATTGCAAATCTGGCGGTGCAGCTTCCCTGCCTCCCTCCTTCCCCGCCGTGCTGCCCTCCTGGAGCGGCTAGATCTGAGGAAGCGGAGCTGGAGATGGGAGGCGGGACTGGATGGGCTAGAGCTGCAATCTGTAGTAATACAGCAAATGCCATGTCTATTAGGTATGACCTGCAATCTGAAATTAGTGTGGTCAGCAAGGGGTGAGACTGCGTGCCACCTGAATTGCGTGCTGTTTTGGAAGAGCAATCTGAAATGGAAAGGATGATAATGCTCTTAAAATTTGATAGGTGCAGTTATTGTAGGAGAGTAACTAAGTAATTGTCCAACATCTATTCACTTGTGGTATTTGACAGCATAAAACAGGGATTAAGAAAGGGGTTTTTAAATTGGACAAATATGTGAACAACTACTGATGCTTTTGCAAATCAGTTACAAGCCTGTTCTTGCTAATAGCATAAATGTAAGAAATTGTAGTTTCTAATAGCATCTTCCCTCTCCCTTTCATCTCCTCCTAGGAAGTTTTCACACATTGCAATGAGTATTCATTCAAGAGATAAGATTTTCTTGCACTGTGGGATTATGTAGGTATTTTGGATTGAAGTATGATTTGAGATTGTGTTAACATATCAAGAAAATTAGTAGAATGGCAGGCAGTCTAAAGTAATGGCTTCTGGGTGCTTCCCTCCCCTCCAGTGCTTGATTTAGCATGGATTCTGAGACAGTTAATGCATATCTTAACACGTTAATATATTCTGAAAATATTTTGTAAATACGGACTGACACATTTTATATTACCGCATTGCAAAGAAAAGCAAATTTTAAATTACTATTCCAGTAAAGTTAACCTGAAAGCCAGTCTGTCTCATCTCTTCTAGATCACTGCCATCATATAATTTTAAATTTATAGGACATAAAAATAATTTATAACTTTTAAGTGAAGATCTTAATGGACACTGAATTTTCCCTCAGACCAACAACTGAGGCTTGGAAGTACCTTTATCTGTAAATTTTTTTTCAGGCTGTAGCAGATCATGAATTTTACCCATGAGAAATCTGTCAATGGCTGGGGATGGGATCAGTTGTATTACACCAAAACTTGTAGTTGTGCATTTTCCATGCTGAAATCTATTGATGTGTGATCTGCAAATAACCCGCATCACTGAGTTAACTGGAGACGTGAAAGGAACAGTTCTGTTGTTGGTGATTAACATCTTTTTGTGGGACTTCATTTTGGTCATCTGGTATCAATATGTAAATTTTTATTTAGTTGAAAGTTAAATAAGTAGGGAAAAATTACAGAATTCGGATTTCTGATTTTTGTTACCATGCTGTGCTTTCCTGAGATTTTTCTTTGCCATATAGATGGTACTGATGGCATTGCATACTTTTTTCTTATAATAAATTGAGTCATTGTGTCTTTTCGTATGTTTCCAAAGTGAAGCAGACACACAGAGAAGTAAAAACATTTAAAGCAAATATTACGCAAACTTCTATACCTCCATGAATGAAGTGGTTATATCCTTTTTTATTTTACTGCACTGCAGACATGTTAGACTTTTAGATACAAGCTTGTATCCTATTGCTAATGAAAATTCCTTTATTTTGTCTTGCTTTATGGGGAAAGGAAGTGAGAGAACTTGTTCAAGATTTTAATGATATAAATAATTATTGCACTATTTTTAACATGAACGAAGTGTTTTTATATTCTAATAGAGTGAGCAAAGAACTTAAACACAAGCTAAAAACAGTGAAAACATTCAGAGAATGGAATCTAGATCTTTCATTCCATAAGTGCATATTTCATCATACAAGCTGTCCCTCCTGCTTTTGAAAGCTTTGTAACAAACTGTGCAAGAAATCAGTACTTGGATACAAATGATTCAAGTAACCTTTGGATGTCTTTATAATGGTTCAAATATATTTATACAGTAGTTTCAACTGATACCCAAATGTTAATACAAATTTTTAAACATTATGTGGACCCTTAAAAGGGCATTAAAAATGGCTTTTTATTTAATATCTTATATTCCTCACTAGTATTTTAACTAGCAAGAAGTTTGATATACTGAACTTGTGGGCATTGTACTGTAATTCTGCCAAGCTCAGGCAGATCGGCATCATGCATGAGCTCCAGAGTGGAGTACCCGTGAGGTTGTTTGGCTGCTAAACTTTATGATTCAAGTGCCAAACTATTTAAGGTTTAGTTATTAACCTCTTGGACTATACCCAGAAGCCAGTAACAGCATTTTGGACTAGCCAGAGTTGGTAAAATCCAAGTTGAGCACATTACAGTCAAGCTTGAAAGCGCTGAAGGCAGGGAACAGTGTTGAAGTCCTCTCCAAAAGGGTGGACTATGTTCTTGGCCAGCATTACTCGAGGAGAAGCCACTTATGGCATTGTACATCTTCCAGAACCAAACACCCCTGAGTAGTAGCTGGCTTTCAACGCTTACTCTGGTTGTCTAAAACTTGCACTGTTGTGTAAAGCTTGCATATAGTTAACTTAAGCCAGGTGGCTTTCAGCTGGAATATTAACTGTGGCCTCTGTTAGCTGGAAGGAAGCAGGCAGATGGAGTGTGAAGAAAACTACAAATGGGTGTTGAAAGAGGCCCAAAGACTTTTTCTAATCCAGCTTGCATCTCTGTGTTACATGAACGCCAATAATCATCACCAAAACTAAGTGGACGCACTTTCAGTCTCTTCTGCAGAGAGTTACTATTTTTACACACATTTACTTTCCCCAGAAATGGACATTTCTACGATTCGAGGTACTTTGAAAATGCACAGATGTATTATTATCAGACTTCAAATGTAGCAGATGACAAAAATTAGTGGAGAATCAAAAAAAAAAAAAATGGTGACGAGCAAATTCCCATACCCATCATCAATAAGAGCTTCCTAGAATTTCTTCAGAGGGCTAGTCCAGTGTGATACAGTCTGTTTGTGTGTGTAAGTTCCTGGATACAGACAGCCTTAAGGCTGCTCAGAGTGCTCAGTAATATGATTTGTCTTTTCATTACAAAGAAAAAAACCAACCTGCTGTGATCTCTGTATTGTGCATGGTATGAAAACTAGGCTTTAAGAACTAGGGAACACTACAAAAGTCAAGTAATGCTAAAGCTAGAAATTTATTTCTTCCTGAGCAGCTTTTCCATAAAAAGCGAAGTCTGAGGACCATAAATATAATCAATTTTATTAAATAATAAAAGTACATCAAATATTTGTATTGTATCCAATTAAAAAGTCCCAGTCAAACAGAAAACTAAGTACAATTCCATTGTTTGCTGCTAAATCAGAGGTGGGTATTGCTTACCCTGGCACTGTGACAAACAGTAATAACCTGAATCTGATACAACTCTGCTGTAAATTTGTTGGAAAATAAACTTTAAAAGTTCTGTTTGTTAGAAAACTGGAAACCTGTAAATAGATTTAACCTACTTCTCAACTTATTTTCAGTGGTACGTGTTGTGGCTTTAATTTCTGAAATTGCTTAGATTTTGTTCTCGCCCATGTTGCTATCTGGAACTCTAAATTTTACCATGATCTAGTCTTCCCCACCTATATAATGTAAGGTGTGTGGCTTAATTTCCTCCAGCAGACCTATTTTTCACTTTTTTGGCAGGCAGGAAAAAGCAAAATCAAGAAAGATTTGGTTTAGTTTCTCCCTCTTTCCACAAAATGGGACATTTTCGAGACTACAGTGAAAGACTTGAGGTTCAGTTTTGCATTTCTGATCAGCCTTTTAGTTACCTTGAAGTTATGTGAGGAAATTACACAAATTCTTTGAATCTGTTATTAAAGACGCCAAGATGAATGTTACTTGGCACCAGATTTTTAGGAGCCCACCCTGCGACTTCTAGAGAATGAAGTAACTTTCAGTCGACTTTCTGAGAAGAATCTAGTTGAATCTGGAACACCACTTGCATTTCCGAAGGTGATGTACAAAATCACAATTTTCTGAACTTTGATTTCATTTATCCCTCCTTCCTAACCAAAATAAGTAACCTTCCCAAAACTGGATCTACTTTAAGAGAATACTTTCTTAGTGTTTTAGGGTTAATGGGTAGTGTCTTACTAAATCGGAAATGTGACATCACTAAATGTGTTGTACCTTAATGAAGCGTATAATAATTTTAATGTGGTATTTGAAGGTAAAACTGATCTTCCCTTTGTGCATTTCCTTAATTTCTCATTTTTCATTTTATAGCAATTCTAGATAACAAGAAATTATTACATTGAAGAGAACTAGAGCTATGAATGCATTTGTAAAACAAAATTTTAGTGTGGAAAATATGCTCAATTATATTTTATTGGCACATAAATCAGCATTTGTACCACCAAAGTGTGCATGCTTATTATTGCACATTAACACAAAAATCCTTATATACCGTCTTCTTTTTTCCTCAAATTTTCTGGGAAAACCTTTTGGTTATAGTTTCATAGTACTAGTGTTATCAAGAGCTATACTTTTTTTAACTTAAAAAAATAATTTTCAGACTCCACTATGTGATGGGGATCAACTAAAGGCTGTCCCATTAAGCTCATCCATTTTCACTGTACATGCGTTCAGCGGTATTTACAAATTGCACATGGAGTACATTTGAGAGAGGGAGTGTTGTCCTTTCAGTGCAGTTTACGATGGCGATACCTGCCTGCTTTTTCTTTCGCTGCATTGGCACAGGCGTTGTGCTTATTTTGTTGTAAGTGGTTCCAGTATTTGATCAGTTCACTAGGTTGGAACTGATGGGAGGTAATTAGGTGGCTATATTTACAGCTGGAGTAAGAAACTCGCCAGTGATTGAAGACAAACTCATTGGGTGGAGGCATAGGGTCAATTCGCAGCTTGGCAAGACAGATCCCCACGTATACATCCTCTAAATGTAAACGTCTGATGCTTAGGGAGACTTTAAATATTTTTTCTGCTAAATCTCCAGAAAAAACGTAACCAGTTCCAGAGCAGAATACAGGATAACGTTCACTTGGATACAAATCAGGTGGCATATACCACTTACTATCCTTGTTCCTATTAGGTGCATAACCTCTCATTAAATAACCTGTAAAATACTTGTGCCTTGGAGGAAGTTCTGGTTTCAGAAGCTTGTGTATTAAATACTCAGTATTGACAAACATATCGCTGTCAGTTTTCATAACGTATGGAACATGTGGACAGTAGGATGCAACCCAGTTCATTCCCATCAGAGTTTTAATGGTTAAGTTATAGTAGGTGTCTAAGTATTCTTGTTGAATGATGTCGTGGTACTGCCTGCTTTCCTCTAGTATGGTACGCTGGAGGTATCCATTTATCTTGATGCTTAACCCCAGCAAAAAAATACGAACAATTTGGATGCCAGGTGTCAGGCTTTCGTTACCCCAAGTTTGTCGAATAGCTTGTCTAGCTTCCACCTGGCCTGGCTCTGCAGCTATGAGCAATATTAGAAAAGGGGTCTTCTCCTGGCATTTCTCAGGCTCGTTGATGATGTATTTGAAATGATACGAAGTTGGATGCCCCATACCTTTCTCGTTGTAAATACTTCCGTTGGCGCTGAGTGTATTTTCCAAACCAGTTACTTCTTGTGGTGACAGGTCTGTGTTGTTGGAGTTGGTGACTGTTTGAGGCCTGAGCGTCTGAGGTACGGCGTCTTTCCACACGTTCCTTAGAGAGCTGTGGTTTGTCTCGCTTTTTGTAGATCTAAATCCTCGTATAGTGTAAGCCATAGGATTTTCTTTGAATCCAGCCCTGCCTGGCAGCCAGTCGTGGTGATTAAAGAACAGAAACATTGCAAAAAGAAACACGAGAGAGATCAGGCCAATGAGATGGGTGCGAAAGAGAGACCTTTTGGTATTCCAGGTCATCTTTGCAAAGCAGCAGTGTCGTCTTCTCCACTGAAGCATGTTGTAAGAATCCAATGATGGGATATGAGACAATGGCCAAGCAAAATGCTTTTCCGATCACTTTTGAATCCGCTGCTATTCTTTGGTATTCATTTTCTTTTGTTCATGTCGAGTAACTGTCTCCAAATGGCTCACTCTGCAAAGATTTAAAAAAAAAAAATCAGAAATCTTTAATTTTACACGCTCGTAATATAACAGGTTATAATGAGAAAGTAGATGTAAACATAAAATTGAGTTCCATTTTTTTGAAAAACCGGCCCATAGTAATATAAACAAGGTTTGTTTTTTATGCTAAAAGCTAACCTTCTTTTGTGATTACAGTTGACTTGATTTGTTAGCTTTTAAAAATGTTTTTTTCATGGTAAAAGTTTTGAAAAACATCCTGGGTACCGAAGATAAAACGAAAAAATAATAAATTGATCATGTTAGGAGAAAAAGTGTGAAGTAGACATAAATAGCTTCACGTATAGTGACTGTGAAATCCTTGTACAGTGTTTGAGAAGAACTGAATGAAAAGGCTTTGATACCAGATGGAAGGTTTACTGGCATTAATTAAAATTGATTTGACGTGCAGAGGCTAGTACGGCTCACAGTTTAAAAATCTTTTTTGTAAAATGGTCATGTATTGGTGGTGGGACAGACGGCACAAGGTTGATTATGGCAGAGTTGTGTTAGTCACAGTACACTGCTTGGCATGTTTCCACCGGCCCCGACTGCGTTCAGAAAGTCAATGAGAAGATGCACCTGTCAAAATTAATTTTCAGGGTCCAGTAACCTCACTTCACAGCCCTCAGATGGTAACGCAGGATAACATTTTCGGTCACCTTTCAGGCACCTTTAACCTTCTACTCCACGCTGAAGGAAAATATTGAATGGAACGCTTGGTTGTTATGCCAGGCTTATATGCAGTTGATGTAAAATTAAACTGTTGATAGTTGTAAATGATGTAGTAGGCAGAAATTTGAGGTAAAAGTTCGTATTTACTGGAAGTAAAACTGTAGAGCACCAAGTTTCTGGTAAACTGTCTGAAGAGCATGATTTTGGGGTTGTTTTTTTCCTCTATAAATTTATATGTAAGTACTATAATTCTGGTATCATATAGAAATTTCAAGTATTGTTACCAGCAGCTGTAACTGTAGGAAAAAGTGCCAAAGTAGTCTGTGCTTCATTGTCTCTTAAATTTTTTTCATATTCAAGAGCAGAGTCAACATGGCAGCTTCATGATGCTGCATATTAAAAGCTGATCACATCATCTCGTAAATGAACCTTTCACTGCACAGTAGCAATTCGTTTGTGATTTTCAATTTGCTCTAATTTATTTCTGGGCCCTAGGGTTTTGCATAGGAAAAAGGATGACAGTTGAACAAGAGTCCATAGAAAATTCTATTTCTAATACAAATGTATAATTTATTAATTGCTTTGCTATCTTCTAAAACCAATATTTGCATTAATTTCTGCATTTAAAAACTAAGTGACATGTTATGTGGGAAATTACAGGATTTTATGTTGTAAGGAAGTAATTTAAGATGAGATGGCAGTTGAACACTATATATATAATACTAATTTGTAGGTGTGTGACAATCTGACTGGTTCATGTAAAGGAAAATTTGTATTTCAAAAGGGTAGGGAGAGACTCATAAGTGAGCTTTATTTTAATTACTGTATGTCACTTTATATATAAACAAAATAACGTGTCTGCAGAAGATGCCTCATTCACAATATTTGGAAGCAAGGGGGAAGCAGTATTGCACCGAGTTGGAATTGTCTCTCTTGCTAAACTCCACTAGGAGGAGCAAGTAAGTGGGGATTTTAACTATGGATTGTAACACTGTGAACGTATCTAAAAAGGCGACACTGCTCCTTAATTCTCTTTCTGAAATAGTGAAATATTTGCCTAGTAATCTATTAAGCTCTTACCCGTCATTGTGCTGTTACACAGCGTTCATGAATTTTGTTCTCAAGCTCACTGAAAGTATTCTTGATTTTTTTTCTTTTTTTAACTGCTTGGGACTGATGCCACTTCCTGTAGACTGAGCTATCTATCTAAAAATTATTTTCCAGTCTACAGCTGTTAGACATGTGTGTCTAAAGTATGTAGCTTGAGAATTAACCTGACAAATCCACACTACTCTTTTTATGCTGCTTTAACTCAGACTTTATCCTTACGCGAAAGCCCCAAATGCAGAAGACTTATGCTTATCTTACCATTTGCACCTGCTTTTGCATGCTTAGAAAATAAAAGCCTGCCCTCCAAACTAATAATTTTTAGTTTCTCTGCAGCGTGCAGCGAGTTTCAAATGAACACTTAGCTATTTGGGAAGAATATCTCTGCATAAGCAAACATAAATGTCACTTCAAAGGGTATCCTAGATCTCAGGGAAATTAATTGTTTGATACTAGTTTGGAGGGCAGCAGTGGGAATATTTGATTAATTATCATTCCTTTGCATGCGTATGCAGTTTAGGAAGAAAGTCAAAACCAGAATTTCATTAATGTGGAGTAGCAGCTAGAATTTGGATTAATTTTGTCACACTGAATTGTTCCACTACTAAAACGGCAGTTATTAAATGCAAATACTTCAGCAAATCTGCACTGTATTACTAATCTGTGTTTAATTTTTCACTGAGGTAGTGTTTCGTGGTGTACCTACTTTCATACGGCAATAGGCGAAAGTGAGAATCTCAACTTATGTAGATACTTGTGTAAACTGAAGACTTTTCAGGTGCTCTTTTTCTACGATGCACTAAAAAAGTGTCTCAGAAAAGGCAGTTGTAATGGCTGAAACCTTTTTTCTGTCTTTATTTTATACTACTCACATTGTGCACATTAAGATAAGTTTTACAGTGAGGGATGGAACTAGAATCATAAAAAATTTAAAGAGTCATTTCTCACTTATATATTTCCTTGATTTTTTCAAAGGGGGAATTTCCTAGAAAATCTTGAATCTTTGTTTGCACTTTAAAAAGGCATTGTATAGATAGGGGAAGGACCCACATCTGTTTCTCAGCTTCATAAAACTAATGACTGAAAAAAACCAAATGACTCTGTGTCTGATTTTCTTTGTAATTCAGGTGTAAATGTTTCAAAATATACAGTGGGTGTTAAGCATTTGAAATACAGCAATAGCAATTGCTCCTTTAAAAAAACACAACATGCTAGGATGCATTGTTTTAAAATAATGTAAGCTGCTATCAATATATGTTAAACCACCATCAAACAGTATCATAAAAATATCGTTTTTCCGCGCTTTTTAATTAAGGTTACTGCTTTTGCCCAAATATTTAAAATTTCATTTCACAGAAGCTTGTGGACAGGTACCAACCATTGGCAGTAGGTAAAAAAAAAACAACCCCTAAGTATAGCAAAAGGTCTCTATACAATCACCTTGTACTCTGAAAATGTGTTGTTGCATGTAGCTCTGTATTTTGAAGATACGATTTATAGTAGTTCTACTTCATTTTTGGCACTTGACTGTGCAGTCACTGATGCATTATCAAATGCCAAATATATAAACTGTGCCTGCCTCTTGAATTCTTATTTGTGGTCTGTGCTCTGCTGGTGTTTTGGTTCCTTGTACTTTCAGTTCTGCTCTATAATTATAGCTTTGAAGATTGAAGCATTCGACTTCCTATTCACACGTCCTGGATTTTCATATTTTGATTAGCTGTGTGGGTAAACTCTTTAATTAGAGGGAAGAGTTCAAAAGGCAGCCTGAGTCGGTATTCTGATGCATATTAGGCCTCACATAATGTGCCTGAGTTCACTTACAAACTGCGTTAATCTTTTGCACAAAACAGTACTGGGGATGGGGTTTGATGTGCAGGTTTTTAAATGTCAGATACGAAAGTCGCACCACTAGCTAGACATGCTTCTCCAGGAGTATTGCCTGTGGGTAGAATTTTTTGTTTTAAAAGTTCCGGAAAGAGACTTTACCTTCTGGATGTCTTAAAAGTGATCTGAAACCAGCGACTGTTGTATGCTGCATCCTTAGGTATCTGAACTCTTTCCAGTTGCAGTTGTTTTATTGCATGTTAGCATTGCCTTGGGCAAAGAAAGCACATTTGTATTGACACTTAATGATTTATTATAGCTTATTGGTAGATTCTGCAGGTAAGCACTTTCTTTCTATGGTGTATTAAGTTGCTATAGATTTAAGTCTTAAATTTGTATTGCAAATGTTCATCTTGTTTGTTTGCCACTCGTGATGAAGTATTTAATTTTCAACAGTAAATAGGAATGAATGGCAATTAGATGGAATGTCATTTTATGATCAAAGTTAAACAGTCAGTGTTTTCATACTAAACAGAAATTGCAGCGATGGCATGAGATAAGTTACGTGCTCACCATTTTGAGTGTACAGTGTTTGAAGGTTTCCTTTTGGGATATCAGGGGAGCCTGATGTTACTTGTAAAATGTGGTGCCTGATTGCATTGCTCATGGTTTAAATCATGTCCAGTCTTGTGCACACTCCCAGTTTATGCTTGGCTGGTGTCAGCCTGATGACATTTTGCTTGTGTTTCAGGGGGGAAATGCAAGTGCAAAAAGGGCTGAAGGTGCTTTTAAGATAACGTAATTTGACTGTGTGGTCTGTTTTGGTGCTCTCAGTGTGTCACATCATGGCCATTTTCCCAGTGCTTTACTTCAGATAAGGATTAATTCTGACCTAGTTTGAGAGGATTTCTGACTGTTTTTTTCTATATCGGAGGGGTTTGAGTTTTTAATTTCTCAGTTAAAAGCAATCATTACAGCAGCAGCATTATCCCTTTAATCCCTCCTCTCCAGCTACGCCAGCCTTGTGCAGACTGAAAGCAATGCATTTAGTAAGTGTAAGGCAGTGACATTGTGCCGTGGGAGAGGAAAACCGGCTAGAATTCTTTCTCCCTGTTCAGAGACATGTTATCTCAGGGCTCTGCAAATTAGGAACGATTGTTATCTGTAATGGCTGAAAAGGTAACAGACAAATCAAATGAATATCACACACAAGGATTTGACATACCTTCCTTGGTCAGGCCATTTATGGTGCGAGGATTATACCCACAGAAAATAGTTTTGGCACGCCATCACTTCAGCAAAAAAGATGCTATCGAACATGCGCACATCCCCCAACAGTCTGCTCCCTGCGATTGCTTTTCACAGTATCCAAGCTGTCCATCTGTCTGCTCGTTGCTGTGTTACCTTCCTTGCTCATAAGTGTTGTCCTTGTCTTGGGGCTTTTTGTTCATCCTTCAAACAAAAGGACAGTCGTTCTCGTTTCTGTTCGGATCGGGGCGGTCTGGCGTTCACGGGCGACGGACGTATTGGAGCTTTTACATCTGGTGTTTCCCTTGTCGGACAATGCGGTGCTGTGTTCTCTTCTCCTCAGTATCCATATTTCTAATGGTAACGTTAGCAGGGAGTGCTAGCGCGTAGTGGTTCAGTTGCCTTCAGTAATAGGATTTCCCCTCTATTCCTTCCTTCATTGTTGCTAGGCAGTAATAGAAATGGTTTTGAGCTGCTTTAACCGAGGATTCTGGTCTATAAAATCCATTCCGTAGTTCCTCAGCTGCTGCACAGGCAGGCAGCAGTTTAAATGTGGACTTTGACAGATGCTGTCTTCTGACAGAGCAGAATTTAACGTCATTGCTTGGCTGAATCCCACGTGATTGTTTGCATTCATTTTGACTAAATACAAAGGCAGCCAGAAAGCTTCACAGGCTCTTGCTCCTATTTGATAAATGATACGTACTCAGTTCAAGCACGATGATAGGTGAATAGTATAAAAATTGTATGATTATTAAATGAATGATTGAGGGGTTTTTCAAATTGTTTTCACTTTTCCTTGACACTGTAACTTATGATTCTCTAGGGAATTTTTAATGCTAGACATTCTATTCCTGTATTCCAAAAGCTGTTCTGCACTGCAAAGGAATTATAAGCATTTAAATACTGAAGCTTGATTTAACCCGTTTGGCTCTCTGAGTATAACTCTCTTTTGCCTTCATGCCAAAGGAGAGAAAAAAAAAAAAAATATTTTGCTCGTACTTCCTTTACACGAAGCTTGATTTAACCCATTTGGCTCTCTTTGAGTATAAATTTCTTTCACCTTCAAGCCAAAGAAAAAAATAAAAATGTATTTTGCTCATACTTCCTTTACATATGCTTAGTCTATAAAAGCTGCTTTTTGTAATCTTAGGTTAGTCAATTAAGCTGGACAACGCTGATGTATAAGCACATGCTGTTAAGCTGCCTTTCTGCTGTTAATGGCTTTCTTCCTTGGTAAAGGTCGAAGTCTGATATTGCAGAATTGGGGGCACTTGATTTCAATTATTGATGGATCTGAAATGTCTTTTATCTCTTACAGACATACCTGAATTATACAAACTGTCTTTCTGGTCCTAATGAAACTTGTGTTCCTTTCATTTCTGTCCTTTCAATACTGACCCTTCTATGCTGAAGCATCTTGTCATGTTTACTATAGGCTATAAATAAAATATCACAATAGATAGCTTAGAAAATAGAAAGCTAGCAGCATACTTACCCAAGTATTTATTAGTCACTATGTGTGTCCACTCTATTTTGAAAAGTTAATGACTAGCTCTTTAGACTGGGTTTTTTTTTTTGTTGCTGGGTTTTATTGGGTTGTTGGTTTGTTTTCTTTTTAGCCAAAGGATAAATAAAATATAATTGCTCTGTCATGGTATTTCTGATTAGTAGGATTGTAGGTAGGTACATCCTCTACTGGCAAATAAGGCTTCCCCAGGCAGTCAGTGTGTTTTACTCTTCTAGATACATATTCTGATAATTTACTAGGAACATAATCAGATTTATATCCTCCTAACTAAATCAGCTGTGTACACTAACTTTCTCTATTAATTTAGTCTCATTTTTAATGTATGCATTTCCTATCCTGATGACAATTTCCACAAATCCTATGATCCTATTTGGGGACATTTTCGTAGCATGAGCATGTTCCCTAAATATTAATTACAAATATAACATGCATGTCAATAAAGACTTGTATCTCCTACACTCTAAAAAATATTGTATTTAAATAGTGGAGGGGAGGACAGCAGGGTGGTGGGTGAGAGAGGAGAGACCTGTGTCCAGCACCACTTACTGTTCTGGGACGTTTATGAATAATTAAGGATCAGTGCTTTGAAAGGTTGCATGTGCGCTTAGTCTACTGAATTTTCCACTTAAACACACAAAGCTTTCTTATCCTTACCCTATGTAATATACAGAACTTTATATAATCTGTTGCTGTATGCACAGAAATATGTGACAGAGTTTGGCTAGGGGTATTGTCAATTTGCTGCGTTCTGAGCTATGAGTAGGATATCCAGTGGGATATTCATGTATTTAATTTACTCGTGTTGATTTACATAGAAGCAGTAATGGTTTTTTTGCATACGAGCATGTAAATCTGCCTCTGACTTTTGAATTTTTAGGTAGGACGCATAGCATTGTATTTGGGAAACAAGTCTAAATCTCAACAGAATGGTTATTAAAATCCATAGTGTTTCCACTTAATTTGTTCACTACTGCTTCACTATACCTAAAGTGTAAGGTTTGTGAGTTAAGTGTAAGTTTACGTGTTGTAGCAGGCAGAGCTGGTTTTATGTTTCCATAGATGCTCATTAGTAAATATTAAACATACAAAAATCCCAAGGGCCATTTTTTTCTAAACGGAATAGGTTTTTAAAGGAAATTTAGAAGGGAGCGGATGTCAGCTTTGGCTTTTAATTATATGACCATATCACTTCTGCATAGCTTGTAAAGTTCAGGCAGAACTGTTGCCTATTGATATGTGTAAAATTTGTCTTCTTGCCATGTGAACAAATTGAATACTGAATTCTTGAATCTTAATGAACAATTTCTTTTGTTCAGTTATTCTTTGCTTTTGAAGGATGAGCAGGTCTTTGTTCATCTTACAGAAAAGTAAGGAAAAGCTTTGATTTTTCTGCTGCTTTCTATCTGGGTGTGGCTGATGTAGCTTTAAAGAGTCAAAGTTTCAGGAACGTATTCCTTTTCTTTTAGAGCACTTCCTTCTTTACTATTTTTATGATACTGCGTGCTTCTGGGTAATTCAGGAGGGCAGAGCTTGCTTTGTACTGGAAATATGACCTGAAGGTTTGAGTAATCTTGTTGGGCTGGAGGTTGGAATGAGCTTTATGTCGGCTAAAACTCACCGTGAAGGGTCAGTGGACTGCTTGTTCTTGATCCAAGGAGTCGTATGTTCTGTAATGTTACTATGGTTACATTCTAAATTAGAAGCTGCACTGTTAGTGTTTGAAATGCTGGCATCTATTAAGGCTAAGGAGGAGTTACTCTGATGTGAAGATGTGCAGCGTGTGGGTAAGGAACACTACAGAGTTACCGTGGCCAGTGAAAGCTCGACAGTTCAGCGAGTTCTGCAAAGCTAGAAGCAGATGCGAGGAGTAAGAGAAGACATCTGCTCAAAATAACCTGTGCACGTGACAACTGTAAACTGTTCAAAGTTTACTTATGTGTAACAAAGGTGTGTACGTTTGCAATATTTCCTTAAAAAAACTTCCGGCATGTCATCTTTAGAGGGTGTCAGTAGAAATGTCTAACTGGTTTTAAAATAAATCAGACCCTAAGGTTGAGCCATTAAATAAAGTTCTCTTGACAACATTAACAGAAGTTTCTCAAATCAATTTAGAGTAGTCACGATAGTCAGGTGTGTACTGCTTGGTAATTTTCTGCCCGGTGCCCACGAGTCCCATGAAAGTTAAACAAAATACGTACATCATAGCTGACCTGTCAACTGAATGTTCCCATATAGACTGTGCTTTCTGGATACTTCATGAATACTTTGCAAAGATTATTCCATTTTATCATAGTAAAATGTAGTATTATTTCAGCTGTAATGTGTTGAAAACCTTTCAAGTGACAGTTCAGAATGATTTATGGCAACATTTTCAAGGCTGGTTATTTGCTTTTAAACTTTATTCTGGAAATGTGTTAATACGGAATGTCATAAATGCTTAGTTTCAGTTTTCTGTGTTAAGAATTATTAGGTATATGGCCAGTGGCCATTCTGCTCTTCTGCCATTAGTCATTTAGAGTGGAGAGGACAGGGTTGTAGAATATTTGTAATTTACTTGGCTCCTTTGTGATCCCAACATGTTTCATAACTATCACAAGGATGTTTTTAACTGAATGGGAAATAGCAATCTAGAAATGACCACAAGTGTCAGTATTGCCTGCCTGATATTCCTTAGCAGATTTTCACCATTGCTTAGCTAGTTGAGAAACCCAGCTTACGCTTGGTACATTTTTTTAATAAATGGGCAAGATTTTGCGCTCTATTGTAATCACACCCAAGCCATAAAGTTAATGATTTCATTCATATTTGAGCGTCTCAAACTTAAAAGAGAAATACAGCAATAAAGATCAATCTGATATGGTGACAATACTAGAAAAGGTTTCCAGTTATTGTGAAATGTCTGTATTTTTGTTTGCTAATGTGTAGTTGATAATTGTTGTATCATTTAGTAAGGAATATAAGCACATCCCTTAACTTTGCGAAGTTGTGAGACAGAAAAGACCGAATGATCTTTTCAAATCAGGAGGGTACTTCTTATTTCGTCTGCATTAGGAAATGTTTCAAGGGATGTTTCATAATTACAAAGCTTGTTTGTTTGGTTTTTTTTATTATTATTAAGTAAACTGACATTCTAGGTATCTAACTGGAATTCAATCCATTCCCCTATCATAGCCTCCTGTGAGGAACACAGGTTTGGAGCACTTGAAAAGCCAAAGTACAAAATGGTTTCAGTCTACTTTATTTCTGTTCTGGTTTTGTGTGTTATGCAAATTTTGCATATTGGATGCCCAGACACGTTTCTTCCCTCAATAATGTGTTGCTTTATCACATTGTCTTTCTTCTCTGTATTTTGATTTTTCATGTCTTCCCCCAGGCTTTGCAACCAATTATTGCTGAGCTTAAGTGCTAAATGCAGATTTTTTTTAATTTTTTTTTTTTTCCTGGGGATGGACAACATAATTTCATTTGTGTTGTGCAGTACTTTTGGTTGCGTGGTTCTCCGCTGATGAACTGACAGTCCAGTGCCAGCAGTAATATTTTCTGCCTGTCACAAGTATTCCTTTTGCATTCTGTGAAGAGCGGGGACTTCGTGAAGCTTTGATTCAGCACAGCAGGGGGGAGAAGGCCAACCAGCACCAGAAGTTCACAGGCAGCTTAAAGAACGACTGTGGAAA